AGTGTGGCGGCAGCCTCACAGGCATCGGTCCAGGCCGCCAGCCTCGCGAGCGTGGCAAGTCTTCAGAGTGTCGCCTCCCTCTCTTCGGTCCAAGCCGCCAGTCTTGCCTCGGCCCAAGCTGCTAGTCTCGCCTCGGTCCAAGCTGCCAGTCTCGCGTCCGTATCAGCGGCATCCGTGGCAGCCTCTCAGGCGTCCGTGCAGGCTGCGAGCCTAGCATCTGTCTCGTCACTGTCAGCAGCAAGTGTAGCCGCAGCACAGGCTTCAGCAGCGAGCGTATCCGCCTACCAGGCAAGCCTGCAAGCCGCGTCCATCTCCTCGGTACAGGCAGCGAGCTTGGCATCGGTCGCATCTGCTTCTCTGGCGTCGGTGCAATCCGCTAGTCTCGCGTCCGTGGCGGCGTCACAGGCATCGGTCCAAGCTGCCAGCCTCGCGTCCGTCCAATCCGCATCTCTGGCCAGCGTAGCGGCAGCTCAGGCATCGGCTTCCAGCCTCTCAGTCTACCAGGCAAGCGTTTCCGCAGCTTCAGTCGCCTCAGCACAGGCTGCCAGCCTTGCGTCTGTAGCGAGCGTATCGGCGTACCAGGCCAGTCTTCAAGCCGCGTCGATTGCGTCCGTTCAGGCTGCCAGCGTCGCGTCCGTCGCCTCAGCCAGCCTCGCATCGGTGGCCTCGGTCAGCTTGGCGAGCGTAGCCGCCTCCCAGGCCTCGGTGGCGAGCGTGGCAGCTTATCAGGCCAGTCTGTCGGCCGCCTCCGTCTCTTCAGCCGCAGCAGCAAGCCAGGCCTCGGTTGCAAGCGTTTCTGCCTACCAAGCCAGCGTACAAGCTGCCTCAATCGCCTCTGTTCAAGCAGCCTCCCTCGCCTCCGTTCAAGCGGCGAGTTTGGCCTCCCTCGCATCGCAGAGCATGGCATCCGTGGCGTCGGTATCTCTCGCAAGTGTAGCCGCAGCTCAAGCCTCAGCTGCCAGCGTCTCGGCATACCAAGCTTCCATCGCTAGCGTGGCAAGCGAACGAGCAGCCTCCCTCGCCTCCGTTCAAGCAGCCTCTCTCGCCTCCGTCCAAGCAGCGTCCCTCGCAAGTGTAGCGGCAGCTCAAGCCTCAGCTGCCAGCCTCTCGGCGTACCAAGCCTCCGTCGCTAGCGTGGCGAGCGAGCAAGCGGCGTCCGTCTCCAGGGCGAGCGTGGCAAGCGAGCAAGCAGCGTCCATCTCTCGGGCAAGCGTCTTAGCATACCAGGCATCACTAGCGTCAGTCGCGCAGGCCAGCGCAGCCAGCGTGGCTAGCGTTCAAAGTGTGCAGAGCGTGCAAGCCTCGTTGAGCGCGGCCAGCGTGGCTAGCGTTCAGAGTGTGCAGAGCGTGCAAGCCTCATTGAGCGCCGCATCTGTAGCGAGTGTACAGGCCTCGTTGAGCGCACAAGCCTCATTGAGCGCCGCCTCCGTAGCGAGCGTGCAGAGCGTCCTGAGCGTGGCAAGCGCACAAGCTTCAATCAGCGCAGCCTCTTTGGCGAGCGCCCAGGCATCGATGAGCGCCGCCTCTGCAGCTAGCCTACAAGCATCCCTCAGCGCTGCCTCTGTGAGCGCGGCCTCAGTAGCGAGCGTTCAGAGTGCTCTCAGCGCGGCGAGTGCGCAAGCCGCCCAGAGTGCCGCATCAGTGGCGAGCGTGCAATCCGTTTTGAGCGTGCAGAGCGTGCAAGCGGCTATCAGCGCGGCGAGCGTGCAGTCCGCCCTAGCCGCTCAAGCATCGAGTCTCAGCGTGGCGAGCGTGCACTCTGCTCTCGCTGCCCAAGCCTCGAGTCTCAGCTTGGCGAGCGTGCAATCGGCCCTAGCCGCCCAAGCCTCAAGTCTCAGCGTGGCGAGCGTGGCGAGCGTGGCTAGCGAGGCGAGCGTCGCGAGCGTGCAATCGGCCCTCGCCGCCCAAGCCTCGAGTCTCAGCGAGGCAAACGCTCGCGCCCAGTCTGCGCTTGCAGCTGAAGCCTCACGCGCTTCAATCTCATCTGCCTCGGTTGCAGCAGCAGCGGCATCCTCACTCTCGGTCCTCTCGGCGCAACAACAAGCAGCAGCTTCGAGTGCAGCACAGGCAGCAGCATCTGCAGCATCTCTGGCCAGCATCGCGTCGGTCTCATCTCAATCGGCAGCTGCAGCATCCTCAGCAGCTCTCGTCGCCGCCTCCTTGTCATCACAGGCGCAACTTTCCAGCCTCGCCGCACAGGCGCAAGCACTCAGCCTCTCTTCGGTTTCGGCGCTCGCCGCTTCTCAGGCCTCTGCCGCAGCTGCTGCTGCCGCCGCCGCGTCGAGTTCCGTGGCTAAGCCACTGACTTCGTTGGGCAACGTTGCGCCGACGACCGTCCTTCCCTCCGCCGCCTCGACGCCTACCGCAGCGAGCGTTGTGCAGACCAGCAGCGCCTTGCCCACCTCGGCGTCGACCACGGTGACCAAGGTCTGCAAGTCGCTGCTCGGTGTGGTGGTTGATTGCAACTCGATTCTCGCCATGACGACGCAGTACATCACGTCCACCATCCACGCGGGCGCCACGGCCTCCGTCGCCCTCAGCAACAGCGGTCTTTCGGCCTCGGTAGCAGCTCCAGGCAGCAACACTGCTTCACTCTCGGTAGGCTTGAACACCGCCATCCCTTCCAGCCTCAACGTCGCGCCCTCGGTCACGATTGGCACGAACAGCCAGAGTGCGGCGAATGTAGGCGCTACCCTCATTCCCGGAAGCAGCAGCGGGTCGCCTCTGGTCGGAGGCTCCGTTGTCGTAGCCACCACTGCGGCCGGTGTCAGTCTCGGTCTGGGAGTCGCGGACATCTGCCTCGACCTCAACGGTGCGGTCAGCTGCGGCGGCACTCGTTCTGGCTCGTCATCTGCGGTCCAGACAGTCTCCGCCCCTGCACTGAGCTCGATTCTCAGCTCCGTGGCTGCCTCCACCCCCACCTTGACCCGGGACGTCACCATCACGCAGAGCTCTGGCAACCCGATTACGATCCCGTCGGGCATCGTCAACTCGCTTCTGAGTGCTCAGACCAATACGGCGCAGCCTACCGTGTCCGTGCCCCTCGGCAGCACCACTGTCGTCCTCTCGCAGGCAGCACCAACGACGCAAGCCGTTACACTCCCCGTCTCACTCCTCTCGAGCGCTTTGAGTGCCCTTCCCACCTCGGCATCGGTCATTAGCCTCACTCAGCCAGCGATCAGCGCCACGATCCCGGCAAGTGCCCTCGCCAACGGTCTCAGCTCGGCCCTCGCTGCTGGACAGTCGATCGTCTCCCTCCCCGGCACGAGCGCAGTCCCAGTGTCCCTGGCTTCGAGCGCCCTTCAGGCTGCTCAGTCGGGGGCATCGGTAGTCACGCTCACTCAGCCCGAGGTGACCATGACATTGCCTGCGTCGCAGCTGGCTAGCCTTCTCCAACCGAGCGCATCGGCGTCGATCTCAGTGGCAGGTCCGAGTGTCAGCATTGGCGTCAGTGGAACAACGGTCGGCCTCCCCATCTCTCAACTGAGCAGCGTGCTTGGCAACCTCGGCACCAGCGCATCAGCAATCATCGGCTCTGGCGCTACTCAACTCACAGTGGCTGCTTCTCAATGGAGCCAGGCCCTTGGGTCGACGCCGCTCGCGAGCGCGCCTGCCGTCACCCTCACCGGCATTGCAGGCAACGAGTTCACTGCGGGAGTGTCGCAGATCCAGTCGATCCTCTCTGACCTCCCGACCACGGCCAGCTTCGTTGTCATCCCAAGCGGCACACAGGCTGCTACGGTTCCGGTCGCTCAGCTTTCGTCCATCCTCAGCCAAGCACAGCCAACCTCGACGGGTCTCGTTGCCAGCTTGGGCAACGTCATCTCGCAGCTCTCGTCAGCATTCCTTGGCACGTCCTCGGCGGCTCTGCCCACCTCCACCGCGCCCGCTGCAATCTCGTCTTTGGCTTCCTCTCTCGCCGGCAACGGAGGCGGAATCCTGGCCTCGCAGGTTGCCGACGCTCTGAGCTCGATTGCGGCCCTCCCTACCTCGTCCGGAGTACAGCAGCTCTCCTCTCTGGCAGCCTCTCTCGCAAGCAACACTCAATTGCCCAGCCAGAGCGTCGCTAGCCTCATCAGTGCCATCCAATCGGCTGCCCCTCAGCCCACCGCGGCACTTCCAACGAGCCTGGTCTCTGAGGTACAGAGCATCCTTTCGAGCGCAGCGGCACAGCCGCAGCCCTCTGCGCCTCTCGGGCAGCTGTCAAGCCTGCTCTCCAACGCAGCCGGGTCACTCCCAACCGCGTCGGCAGCACAACTGTCTAGCCTTCTTTCTAATGCCGCCGAGCCCACAGGAACTGCAGCCCTTTCGCAGCTTCAGAGCATCTTCTCCAGCGCTGCTGCTGCTCAGCCGCTCCCGACCAGTGCAGCTGCCATTTCGCAGCTTTCGTCGCTAGTCGCGTCAATCGCCTCTGAGAGTGGACTCCCTAACGGAGCGGCCTCTAGCTTCATCGCGGCTTTGTCGAGTGCTATTCCTGCCAGTCCCTCAGTGACTGCGCTTCCGGAAGCCCAGCTCTCGTCGCTGGTTCAGTCTCTCTTCCCGTCCAACTCGGCTGCCGCTTCGAGCTTGGTGGATCTCCTCACGAGCGCACTGCCCGCCGTGCCGACCACGGCCCCTGCGGCTCAGCTTTCCTCGCTGCTGGAGTCCATCTTGCCCTCGAACTCGGCCGCAGCATCGAGTCTTGTGGACCTCCTGACCAGTGCTCTGCCCGCCACTCCTACGGCGGCTGCACCTGTGATCCCCACCGCCCAGCTTTCCTCGCTCGTGGAGTCAATCTTCCCCTCGAACTCGGTCGCGGCGTCGAGTTTGATCGATGCCCTCACGAGTGCTCTGCCCGCAGCGCCAACGTCTGTGCCTCAGGAAGCTCAGCAGCAACTCTCTTCCATCGCGGCATCAATCTTCCCCTCGAACTCG